GGGGGGGGATGCTAATTACAAATGAGAGAGAGGTTGTAACTCTTCAGGGTTTGTGATTGGCTGATGAAGACGTCATGTTGTGCTGCAGGCTGTGTTTCTCTGTGGGAATTCAGATGAGAGACAGTTGCTTGTTCAATCCTGGTCTTCTTATCAGCTACTTTGTTTTTTAGAAAAATACCACAAGTTACTCAAAAAAAAATCCACCTTGATTTTGTCTTTCAGCTCATACACTCAGTTATTTTTTTCCCCTTAAAAGCTGCAGTATGGTGTGCGTGCAAGTGGGTGTGTGTGAAGGGGATATTTGGCAGCTCATTTAAAGCTGACTAATCAGAGTGCCCTTGGCTTCATCGTGTGTGTGTGTGTGTGTGTGTGTGTGTGTGTGTGTGTGTGTGTGTGTGTGTGTGTGTGTGTGTGTGTGTGTGTGTGTGTGAGAAAGTACTAACTAACTGGACATATATCATTATTTACAAGAACTTAAAGGTGAAAGTCAGCTGTGGATTTGAGCCGAGTTTGATCAGGTGATAAAGAATCACAGCTCTCTCTCCACCAGTCACTGACTGGCATGACAGATTCAAACGATAGCAAAAATGTTATCCACAAAATCTGAAGTATTTTTCGGAACGTCTGCCTTATACGATAAAATACAATGTTGTGTATCAGTTACAGTACAGAGTAGGAAAGAGTGAAGTTATATATTATAACTAGTGTACATATTCATCCTCAGCCCTTAGGTGTATTATTTTTCTATGACCCAAAACATAACCACACCTTGCAATTACTTTCAGCTTGTCATAGTCCGTCTTTGACAGCTTAATGTTTGTCTTTCCTCCCCAAATCTTCCACCTGGTGATGCATCCAATGACTCATTCAGCACACACTTCATACCAGATCAAACTAAGAGACTAAAAGGAAGAAAACCATATCAGTGATTCCAATATCTAAATTTTATTTGGGCTGCCTGACAAAAAACATTCATTTGTGTCTCTTGATCTGTATTTTTTTTTTTTTTATTTCTTGCCTTTTTGAAATGATAGATTTAGTGAAAAGTCTGCCAGAACGATGCATTCTTATGCAAAATATCAGGCATCTTCTAAGTCTGTTCATCACAAACGTTTATAGTGTCCTAATAGGGTCCTATTTGTGCTTCTCGTCATTCCATTGAGCCAGTGAAATTTAATGATTGGAATATAGGTTGCTAGGCAACCTAGTGATGCCTCAGACTTCCAGCTCGCACACTCTGCTTTTTATTCTCAAATGACAGCGATCCATATGAGCAACGGGTGTCAATCAGATGAAGAAGAACGGAGATAAATATCGAAACCAGGTTTAATGCCAAGTAGGTTTTCACATGGTCTTTGGTACAGGACAATTTGATTATACAACGTATATATTTTAGGAGGTGAAAGTGTCTGTGGTGTTGGTGCTCTTTGGCAAGTTGACTCGGAGTGAAGTCGAAGCAAGTCTTTGTCTCACATTGGAAATGCGTGAAGTCTTTTACAGGTTGTTGTATGTTCTGTTAATGAAGGATGAGAACTGATGCGTGTGTGTTTAAATTCTGCAGGGCGACAACCAACAACAAGGTGAAGGAGACCGTGGCTCTGGAGCTCAGCTTTGTCAACTCTAACCTGCAGCTGCTCAAAGAGGAGCTGGAGGAGCTCAACAGCAACATGGAGGTCTACCAGACAGACAGGTAGAAAGCACGCACGCACACACGATTAAAAAAGTTTCCACTGCAAGATACAGTACCTACCATATTTCTCTAAATTCAGAGGTCATGTGAATATTAGTCCCTAGCAAATGGGCATCTCTGTGATTTGTGGTCGTATTTTTTATTTATTTTTTGCAAGGTTTTCTGCATACGTTTCAAAAAAAAATGCATTTATAAATTTAAGTTGACAGCATTTTGGGTGCAAATTCAGGAGTTTCATCTCGCTACACAGCACAGTAATGGGTAATACTAGTTCTGTGCGAATCGGGCTTAAGAGATGGAATGTCACAAACTACATTAGGCTACTCAAGTACTGTACTATAGTGCAGCTTTGAGGTATTTGTGCTCTAGTAAACAATTTAATCATAAACACATTGGTTGTATGGATATGAATGGGGCTGATACGTCAAAAAGTCACACCCGCAAAGCATGGTAAAGAAGAGAGTCTGTGTTTCAAGATGGGTGGGTTGGCGACATTGCTGCAGACCCCCGACGCCCTGAAAACTGTCCGCCCTGGTTGACGGTCACACCGGGAGAGAGAGAGAGCACAGTGAGCTCGGCCCCCGGGAAGCAGCGAGGGTCCAATAGGCCCTAAAGCTGACACGACTGGAGCTGCTTTCAGCCCGGGCTCTTTCTGCCGCTGCGCGGAGGAAATGCGATCGGCGAGGGCCAGCCCACCCGTTGAGAAGTGTACAAATATTTTCGGTTAATTGTGAAACTGTGGCGGGATTAAATAGACTATGGTGGGCCGCCTCAGTCTTGGTAATTAATAGGAAACACTGCGCATGTACACACACACACAAAATCATGGCCTATTTAAAACCCATGTCCCAATTATTATTTGTCCCATGAATTCCAGGTCACACATTAGTCTAATGAGAATTATAATTGGTGAAAACAAACATTCATTACATTTTTGTATTCACACTGCATTGTGTGTATGTGCTCTACGTGTACTTCTGTCTTTGTGGGGACACATTTATGTTGAAAGCTTTGAGAGGAAGGACTTCTTTAAGTTACAATATTTTGTTAGAATAAGCATCAGTCAAGCTTAAGTGAAGGGGCTCGGGAAGTATAGAAGTACAAGTGTGTGTGTGTGTGTGTGTGTGTGTGTGTGTGTGTGTGTGTGTGTGTGTGTGTGTGTGTGTGTGTGTGTGTGTGTGTGTGTGTGTGTGTGTGTGTGTGTGTGTGTGTGTGTGTGTGGGTGTGTGTGTGTGTGTGTGTGTGTGTGTGTGTGTGTGTGTGTGCGTGCGTGCGTGCGTGCGCGCGCGCGCAGTCCTTCACAGCCAGGAGATGTTTTTCCTCAGGGTCACGGGAAGGATAAATCCCCCGATTAGAGGGTCATTAATGGCCGCGTGGCGTGTGTCGGTTCATTGTGACTTTGGGGGGGTGTTAGGGCCGTAAGGGTTAATACTTGGCTTTAGCTTTGTCTATTAGCAGGATGAAGCACTGAGCAGTGAGCCTGCTGTGTTTGAAGGCTAGCAGATGGCAGTGCTGCCTTCACTGAGCCTATAACCTGCACTGTGTATAATGTTGGTGTTTACACAATGATGTTTACATGTTGGTGTAACCTGGGTAATATTACACACATACGGAACACATGCTGTAATTATTTATTGTTTTCACAGTGAGGCCATCAACGTTCCCATGATCCCACTCGGATTAAAAGAAACCAAAGAGGTGGACTTCACAGTTTCTATCGAGGTGAAGAGGACTTCTCATATTTCACCCCCTTGATTTATTTTAACTATCAAAGTTCCTTTTTACACTTATAAAGACAAACTAGTGTGAAGACGCGATAATAAAGACACTGCCATTGATTTCTTGTCTAATCCCACATTTCTTTTGATTTATATTGTTTTATTGAAAGGCTGCTGAGGGGCACCGAAAGCTCAGTCAAATCCTCTGCAATCTGTCTGGGTATTAGAGAATAGCTCAGCTGTGAAACTGATTCGTCATTATGTAACGGTCTGTCTCCCCCTCACAGGACTTCATCTGTGAGCACTATGGAGAGGACAGCTCTCTCTACGACAAGGAGATCAAAGAGCTTATGGAGCTCAGACAGGTTAATAAATGCATTCGTACAAAACAAATCTTGATCTTGTTCAATATTAAATCTGTTTTTTTCTTAAGGATGGTTGAAGAAAATCAGTGCTAAACTGTGGGAAAAGAAATGAAAGGCCTGACATGTACATGTCGGAAACATGCAGTGTCCTTGAAGTTACGTGTGTATGTCTGTGTGTGTTGTTGTTTTGAATCAGGCCATGCGTACACCCAGTCGTAACCAGGCCGGTCTGGAGCTACTGATGGAGTACTACAACCAGCTGTCCTACCTGGACCAGCGCTTCTTCCCTCTACACAGGAACCTGGGCGTGCACTTCCACTGGTAGGACATGAGCACTTTTTAATGTAAAAGCCTCGAGGTTAACGAGTCCTGCATTACAAGTACTGAGGCCTGGTTGTGTAGAGAGAAGATGACAAGTGGATGTTTGATTACTTAGTTACTCAGCTATATTTTGTGAAGAATTATGATTGGCTCTGCCAGGCCTGGACTGCTTTACTTTGTGCTCGTTTTGGGGGTTTGTATGTACGTATGTGTTGTAGGGCTGTCAATTGATATTTGATCGTGATTAATCGCATGATTGTCCATAACTGATCGCCAATTAATCGCACGTTATCTGTTCGGAGTGTACCTTTTTAAAAGTTCAATGTAGGGCTGTACTGAATGATGTTTTTTCAATGACTTGCAGCTTCTTTTGAGGCATTCGATGTCTGTCGTCATATTTTACGATGTCATCACCCTAAAAAATGGGAAGAATATGATTTAGTGCTATTGTGGTTATATAAATGTAATTGATGGTGCTAGACCGCCCTGTTAGTACAGGTGCCTGCTTCCCCTATATAGCATAATGAAAAAAAGTCATAATAAAGTCATAGTATAGTATGCCGAAAACAATTATTATTTATAGTATAGTTTGTGGGAAAAGATCGTTAAGTGAGTGCACCTCTTCTCGTCCCACGGGAGGCCTGTGCTCTGTCCTGTGCTCTGCCCGTCAAGTGCTGCTTGATCTGGGATGCACCGATGGAGCCAGGTCTCTGTAGTGATTTGGGTACAACTACCTGGGGCAGTTTGCTGGTGTTTGGTCCGGCAAATCTGGCTGCTTTGTCGGCAATGGGCTATGATCCTCTAAAAGTCAGATGCACTTAATCCAGACTTTTCCTTTTCAGATGTACAGTATGCTGAAAAAAGCCATAGTATAGTATAGTATGTCCTTTAAAAAGTGTCAAAAAAATCTAATTGAAAAGTCGTAGTATTGTACGCCATAAAAAAGTTTTTTTTTTTTTTTTTTTTTTTTAAAAGTAATAATATATGAGGCCATAAAAATGGAACAAAAAGGTAAAGTATAGTTGCCATCAAAGTCTTTGCAATGCAGTAAGTACATGTCCTCCTTCTCTGTCTCTAGGTACGACTCCCTGACAGGAGTCCCGTCGTGTCAGCGTACATTGGCCTTTGAAAAAGGAAGTGTGTTGTTCAACATCGGTGCCCTATACACACAGATTGGCGCACGGCAAGACCGCTCTGCAACAGCTGGCATAGACCGAGCAATAGATGCTTTTCAGAGAGCTGCAGGTTATGAAACAGCACACACTTACCCGGCACTTCTACGGGCCTTATTAAGTGGGACAGAAAAAAGCAGTCTGTTAAAGTTATCTGCTGAAATATTGACATTTTTATACTCCGCTAGGGCAGCAAGTATTTGTTTTCCTCATCATCTAATATATCCTTTATCTTCTTCAATTAATAGATTTATTCTATTCAATGTAAAAACATTTTTTTAAATAGTGGTAGCTATTGTAAGAGCGCCACAGTGACATCTTCAAACTGATTTTCTTGTCTGATCAAAAGATCAAATTCTGAAGATGTTGAATTTCTAATGAAATAACAGAGAAAAGCAGCAAATCCTCAAATATCAGAAGCAGAGATCAGCGGAGGTTTGACATCTTTGCTCGATAAAAGCTTTTTTTAAATTGAGTAATTGATGAATGAACTAAAAATTATTTTGAATGTGTATTTTTTTTAGGTGCATTTAATTACCTTAAAGAGAATTTCTCCAACGCTCCCAGTTTGGACATGAGCGGCCCGTCGCTCTGCATGCTGGTGCGTCTGATGGTTTCCCAGGTGCAGGAGTGTGTGTTTGAGCGAGTCACACTCACCACCCAGGACACACACTTCACGTCGCAACTCTGCCTGGCACAAGAGGCTGCACGGGTGAGTCAACGCGTCTCTGGTTGTGTCGTTACCGCTTGTGCCGTCAACGATTCATTCTCACGGTGTTATGTTGCTCGCGTGTCCCTGTAGGTGTCGGACGTCTATTTGTTAGTGCAGCAGACCATGACTCAGCCTCTGATGAAGGACTACGTGCCGTTTTCTTGGGCCTCCATGGTTCAAGTCAAATCCGAACACTTCCGTGCCCTCTCGCACTACTACGCTGCTGTTGCACTCTGCGATCACACGTGTAAGCCACACCAAACCAAACTACAGCACAACATTTCATTTAATATTTGTAGCAGGTGTTCACATTATTGTTAACTGTGCAGACAGTCAGTTGTTACAATTTGAATGGTCTTTACTTGCACATTCGTGAGAATGAAGAGGTGGCAAACGGAAGCCGTGTGCAAAGAGTCAGACTTAAAATTGAAACGAAGATAAACAAATTACATTAAATATAAATAAAAATGGACAAAGATAAATATGGATCGGCTTTTGTAGTATATGGACTTTGCTCAGTTAAGTTGGTGATACTTTGCAAAGACTACTGTGCCTTAAGGCGCAAGTATTAGCTGCCTATGCAGTGTAAATAAGACAAAGTACCTTTAGAAATGATAGGGTATAGGTTTGAATGAATTTCATTGACTTTCACTAAGGATTCAGTCCTTTGGTTATCCTTACCCAAAATCATTTGTGTACTCTTTGTGTAAATTTAGTGTCTGCTGAAGAGGAGGAGGAGGAGTGTGACGAGGGAGCAGAGAAGGGTTTCCTCCAGTTCTATGTCAGCAGTCCTGCAGAGCCACCACTCAGCCAGGTGTTACGAGACCCTGAACAAAGAAGAAAGCTTGGTGAGTTCATGGAATATATATTTGTATATTTAGTCCAGATATACAGCAGAGTCCAGCCAATATGTGAAACAGAGAGAGAGACAGAGATGCAGCAGAGGCTTTCTGTCATTAAGTTTACATTTATGAAAACATCAGGGCTATTTTCCAAAGATTTGGGTAATTTTATCGACCAAGTATGTCACTAGGTAAAAGTAGTATTCACTCATCTTTTAACACCATGTGTGCAGGTAAGGCTCACCTGCGGCGGGCAGTAATCAGACATGAAGAAGCCATGCGTGTCCACAGTCTGTGTAAGATCTTGAGGAAGATGGACATCCTGCAGGACGTGCTGTCGCTCACACACAAACGCTCTCTGGACAAGTACTCTGAGCTGGACAGAGAGGATGACTTTGATGAAACCGCAGAGGCCCCAGAGATCCAGTGTAAGCATCGCTTTGAAGTCCCATCGATGATCTGATTCTTTGGTTAAATACCAGCAAGTGATTGTGGTTTGTTCTGTTGTTCTACAGCTCAAACCCATCAGAAACCAGACATCACTCCAACCAACTTCTCTAAAGTCAAAGTTACTGATATATTCCAAAGACTGGTAAGACGCATTCATTATAGGAACAGTCGGATATTAGGAAAGCCATTGAGAAAAAACCGCAGCAACCTGCTGGTAGCTTAGTTGAAGATGAGTCTTTTCTGTGCTGCAGGGACCTCTGTCTGTGTTTTGTGCACGGGCTCGCTGGGGTCCGGTACGTGTGATCTGTCTGCAGAAGAGAGAGGGTGGACTGGGTCTCACGCTCAGAGGAGACTCACCCGTCCTGGTGGCTGGAGTGGTGCCTAGAGGCTGTGCAGAAGTAAGAGAAACTCTGCTGAGCTTTATGTGCATCAGTTACAGCAGAACTGCTGATGTCTTCCACAGCCTGTTAAACATGAGCTGGTTAGAAACAGTTAAGAATATCACTCACAGATACTGTATTACTGTACTGTAGTATACATCCGATTTTTAAGGGGAAAAAGCAATACATCTACACTGTTTTATTTATTTTTTTAGGGATTAATTCATAATTTGCAACTACATTCTTACCATTTTTTTTATTTTTGCTAGAAAAAAAAATCTAAAATCTGTTAAAACCTAATTAAATTAAATCTGCTCCTGTTTTTTTAATTTGTTGAGCCTTATGTTAAATCTACCTTATAACCAGCATAACAACAATTTCAGTAATTAATGTGTATTAAAAATGTACAACTAACTCATTTCTGACCACTAGAGGATATAAAGGAGACACAAATAAATGTCTATACAAACTAATGTAAGGCACCCTGAGTGAAGAGGTGGGGCCAGTCCAGCAGCAGCTTCACCATTCACTTTTAACAATAGTTGATCTGCAGGTGTGGATGATTATTGGTTGCAGAATTCGCAATTCATGACTTTTACTCGTTTCCTCATGTCTATGTGTCACATAGGAGGCCGGACTAAGGGAAGGAGACTACATAGTAGCAGTGGACGGAGAGGACTGTAAATGGGCCAAACATGGCGAGGTGGTTCAAATGCTAAAGAGCTGTAGCGAGAGAGGAGTGGAGCTCAGTGTGGTCACATTACACTCCCATGATACACAGGTAAGTATGTGGGGGGGGGGGGGGGGGGGG